TTCGTCTCAACCCATTTGTCGAGGCGAAAAAGGATCATTTTCTCCATCAATTTCCGAATGCAAGACAGCATCGCGATGGGCCAATACGCTTTTTAATGGCTATAACCCTCACTCGTCTCCAATCGTCGGGAACAATATTGAGCTCCAAGAACTGATTGTACAAGATCAACATGCGCCTCTTAGTGACGTCTGGGAGGTTTTCCAGTAAGTTGAACTTGATTCTATCAGATCCCGGGGCAGAATTGCCACACGAAAGGAGAGCGAGTGAAAGTTCGACCATTGAAAAAGACTGACTGATTTCGTCTACCGAATTCGCGCTTTCGCGAGGAATCAACTGCGACGGCACGGAATCCGGACACACTTTTCGCGCGAATTTAAGAATCCATCGATCCGAGTATTCCTCGCTTTCGTTGTTAGTAGACCGGTTACGCATTCTTCGCGCCGTACTCCAAAGCGTATTCATAGACGTTTCACGCGACAATCCATCTACAAACTGCCGCCAGTAACCCCGTTTTTTGGCCTTGATGAGGCTCTTGAGTTAGCGTTCAAGAGATGTGTATGCGTCGAAATGCTCGCGTGTTTCGCGTTTCCGAAAAAGTTTAAACGCGTCGGACTTTTTACGGTAAACCTCCGTGCATTGTTGATCCCACCAGAGCGATGGTGTTTTCTTACGAATTGACGATCGCAGCACCGGTCGTGTTTGAGCTTGAAGTGCGCTGTCGCTGATGAGATTAGAGAGGAAGTTATATTCCTCCAACGGCGGGAGCTCTTCCACTGACGATACTGTATCGCCTATCGCGGATTGGAACTTAGTCCAATCGATGTTACCGGTTAGATCATACGCGACGTTAACGGATTCTGACGAGTTGAACCCACTGGCAATCGAAATTTTGATCGGCAGATGATCACTACCGTGCGGATCCTGGATTACATGCCAAGTGCAATCCAACGATAGTGAATTGGAGCAAAAGGTGAGGTCTAATCTGCTACCATTCGAGGATGGACCAGCCAAACGTGTTACTTCTCCATTGTTAAGAATTGTCATGTTGAAGTTGTCACAGAGATCATAAATCAAAGTAGAACATAGTTGAAGATGCTAATTTCAAATAACAGACTGTAGTGGTAATTTTTATACGATAGATGGAGTAGATGAAAGCATAGAGTTGATAGTTCCGTTAGAGTACGGCAGTGTGAAGATTGCATATAGATATTAGAATAGCGAGCTAGGACAACTTTTAAGGAAGGTACAAATCGGTTTTTTCATCTCTCTTTACCAAACTCCCCCTTTGGAGAGGGATGGTGAGGGGTGTTCCCTCCCCGTCAGTATGAGTTGTTATCCAAATGAGATCAAGATTTGGGAGAATGATCTAGTATCGATTGAGTGTGGAGGAGAACAATCGATATTTGAACCATACTTTACACACGTTCATAAAAAAATGAATTTTCATATTTTTTTTCTTTATTAAGGGATTTTTAGCCGAAGGCTAGTTCATCTCTGAAATTGTCATATGTACATTACTTAAACTTTCGGTAAAAATATATTAAATAATGTTTTTTTTTTTATAATTCTCAAACGTTACAGCATTCTGTGCCATCTGCCGAGTGAACTGGGTTAGTGTTGCATTGCATAATGTTTATCAAACGTAATTCTTGTTATGTAATTCTTTGCAGGCTCAGAATGGATATAACTACGACAGACCAGATCTCAGTTTAGGAATTGCAAGTACTAGTCTAACTGGTTTCGCTGGAACTTCGGATTACCCTTCGTCTTCTGGTTTTGGTAGCGTGACAGGATCATCTCCTCCAGTTTATAAACTTGGAAGTACCGTTTATCCTTCTGGACGACCGTCTGGGCCAAACTTTGCACAATCAGGAGCAGCGGGTCTAACAGGAAGTGCTGAGTACCCTATTGTAGGTACCACAGGATCGGGAGCATCTTCTGTCGGAGGCACCGGATTCCATTCCATAGGCGCTGCTCCCAGCTTCCCAGGAAACAGTGCTATTCCTACTATTGGATTTCTTTCAACCAGTGAAGGTCAGCAACGTCCTTCTGAGGGTATCAGTTCCATGAAACAACATCAGACTGGACCATCTGCAGACTTTTTTAGTAGACCTAGTTCCACCAATGATGTTCAATACGAAGATGGAAGCTATTCTGCTATTCCTGGTGAACAAGGTGTAGATTATCCAATTTTTTCAGTAATACCAGAGACATCATTCGATTGTAATCAACAACTTTACCCCGGATATTATGCTGATATTGAGACTCAGTGCCAAGTATTCCACATATGTGCTTTAAACAAAACTTTTAATTTCCTGTGCCCCAATGGCACCATCTTTAGCCAGGAGCATTTTGTATGTGTGTGGTGGAACCAATTTGAATGTGCTAGTGCACCAGGATTGTTTGAAAAAAATACAAAGCTGTATAACAATCCAGAAGCGGGCCGGCAATCATCAGACGTATTTACAAGCATTCAAACAAGCTTAGGTCTTAGTGGACCTTCAGGACCTACCGCTGGAGGGGCTCCATATACAGGAAGACTTCAGGGAGGACTGTTTTCTGGTGCTTCAGTAGGACAACAAGATGTTCATGTAGGATCACATAGTAGTTTACCCCATGGATCACAGGGAAGTGGTTCGAGCTATTCAGTTGGTCTTACAGGTGGATATCCCGGATCACGATCGTCTGTTATTTTCCAACCAGAAGGTCAAATTCCATTTAATGTTTCTACAGGGTATATTGCTACTGGAGGTCAAGCAGGTCTTGCTTACCCCAGCGGATCAAGTCAACAAGGATACCCTGGACCAAGTCAATCAGATGAACAGTATGCTCTTTCACCCCAAATTCCAACTCGAGAGTATCTTCCTCCTAAACAGGGATGAGTCTGAAAGAAAAAGGACATAATTTTATGGTAAAGGCGTTTAATTTATGTATGTTCACACAATGTAATGTTACAAGCAGGTGTATTATATATGTAATAGTAAAGATAATTTTGCGATGTCAAACACCGGCATTAAACTTAACTTTTGCTCGATAATTTATATTTTTTTTCGATAAAATAATATTTTTTTTTCGATAAAATAATATTTTTTTTCGATTCGATACGATCCAACTCATAATGACACAAACCAACTCATGATTCTAATGTGCAGCATTCCGATATGTCCGAACCTGGTATCCCTATATCAAGCCCATCAAATCCAAAAATAAATTCTCACGGTACAAAAATAAACTTTTCCATACATCCTGACTGATCCATCACTGACGAATGACGAAGAGAGTCCGACAATAATCAATAAAAAAAAATCCTATCGTATCTTTTACTTTCACTTCTCTTTTTTCAATCATGCATGGATAAAAAATAGCAAAAACCGACTAACGTATATGTGAGCAGCCGAATTGTCGTACTATGAGCGCTTCTTATTTTCCTTTAATCTTTCCATTTTCTTAAGCATTGAGATACCAGTGATGAAAACACACACTTGATAATCAGAACGTTCGTTGTTCGAATTCGGTTTGTACCCATTTTTAGTTTTTTCAAACATATTAATTGATTCCAACAATCTTTATTTTGTCAAACAACACGCAACGGCTGACTAAATCGTGAAGTTTTTAATCATCTTCGAGTAACCGATTGATCTATAAGAAATTTTACGAGATGTACTAGCCATTGGGCTAAAAATCTCGTCAATAAAATAAATAAAAAATATGATCTAAGAGAGAGGGAGCACGTAATGGAATAGTTTTTTCACGACGTAAATTAAATATGTATAAATTCATACGGAAATTGTCATGCGGTGTTTGGAGTGCGACAAAGACAGTAGGATAAACGCAGCAATAGTGGAATTTGTCGTCTCTTTCGTTTTCCTGATTTTTAAATGGTTATACTAGTGTGACGTCAAACTTCCTCATACATTTAAACAGCCAAAAACGAAAAAGACGACAACTCTGCCCATAAATGAGAAATTGACTAATGTGCATGAAACACAAAATCGAGAAAAATGCAACTTTAACATTTTTGTTTGTTGAATAAGGTTTACTAGATAAAATTATGTTTTTAAATGTTCTTCTTCTTCTTATTCGCATTTCAAGCTTATTGCTTAGCGCATATTAGCTTATTGCGTGCTCTCAACTTAGTGTTCTAAATGCACTTCCACAGTTATTAATTAAGAGCTTTCGATGCCAATACCAATGCATGAATTTGTATATTGTGTGGCAAGCACAATGATACTCTATGTCCAGGGAAGTCGAGAAAATTTCCAACCCGAAAGATTCCCTCGACCGGACCGGGAACCGAACCCGCCGCCTCCGGCTTGGTTATACCGTGCCTTTACTGACTAGGCTATGAGGCTCCGTTTTTAAATGTTCATAACTTTATTTTCCTATGCCGGAAACATGCCGTTGAATATAAACGAATAAAAATTTAGCCAATTTCCTTAAATACTTATTTTTAATCACTGTAGCCATTTTTTCATTTACTAAGCTGGGGAAATTTGTCAAACGATCACCTGTTTTGGCTAACGTGCGATGTGAATTCCTGCTAGATGTGGCTTTAAATTATTTACAACAATACGAACCACTAATGAAAGTGTTCAGATACCATCTGAAAAATCGCAGAGCCTTTGTGCTACATTGTTAACAAACTTACACGTAAGCAATATATTTAAAAAAAATGTACCCTTGTTGCCTCCTCGCGAAAAATGTATTGGTATAACCTTACAACCCACGATGACAAATCTGATGAAGAATCGTAAAATTGTTATTTATAGCGTTTTTTTTTTATATTTACCATTTATATTTCCGTTCTCCTTTCCATTTATTATGCATGAATAAAGCTGACACAAATAAATGAAAACATCCATTCCGTAATACATTTTAATAAAAACTCTTGTGATAAGCTGCAAAAACCGAAAAATTTAATTGCAAAAGTTTAACAAAAACAAGTTTTTGTACCTGAATCATCGGATTCACAACCTGATGCCGTAATCACAACCGTAAATCATTTTGATTTATAAATTTTGTGCAGTGGGGACTTGACAATAGTGCCACCTATCAAGTAACACCATTTTCTCGATTTTGACAAAAATGGCATATTAGCCAATTTCTTATTTATGGCAGAACTGGACCTTACCTATTTACGCTCATTGATTTTCCATATGTGAATTTGGTTTCAAACATCAACAAACCATCGTTGCTTGAGGCTTTTCGTTGTTTGGAACCAGTTATGCGAGGTAGGCGACGATTGTTCGTATTTGGCAGCCACCTCCCTCTCTTGCAGGATAGAAAGAAATTATTTGTCCAGAATATATCAGACACGAATCAACTCATAAATATTTCACGCAGGTTAATGACTTAGCTAAACGTTTTCCGCGAATATGGGGACAGACGAATATGGGATAGCAGTGTGCTTTGAAATTTCATGGTAACTTCTATGGTCATTCATGCCGATTTGTCGATAGTCAAATGTTAACACTCTGGTAGTGTTAACACAGGTCCGACTCAACCGGGTGGGAGTTCCGTTTTGGTTGCGGCAACTTTTTCCCCACGCTTGATGTTTGGCGTTCAGGTCACCAGCAATTATGTAATTCTCGCTCCTCCGAGTTAGCTTGATGATGTCACTTCGTAGCATAAAACAACTTTCTGTAAGTCATTCCAGAGATAATCGATGACAATTTTAAGTTACGTGTTTTGGTTTGTTCTTTCATGCATTCAACGCACTATGCACCGTTATTTATGTATAATAATGTCAATTTTACAATTAACTGGAATCAGTTAGCCATACATGATTGATTTTATTGTTGTAGCTTCATGAACTTGACAGTTTACTGCCATTTGTCCCTTTTTATTAATAAATCGAAAAATCAGATGAATCCTTATGCTTTGTAAAACGCTGTATGTCCTTCGTAGCATTATGTATAGAACACTTTTAATAATAAAAAAAAGAAACTATGTTTTTCGTTAATAACTCGCCAAACCCGTTTTCGAAATATGCAACAATGTTTGCCTGAAGAAGACAACTTTGTTTTAACTAGAGTGATATTTTGAGTATGTATCTTAGCTCATTTGCAGTTTTCGTTAGCTATTAGGATAAAAACATATTCTTTTAATATTGTTAATATATAGCAAACTATTTTGAGCTAATATTTTTGAGTTAGCCTACATACAACTTTGATCTTTCTGTTATGTAATGAGGGAGAATGGAAAGTAGTTGTTTATTAATTTATCTTGGATTTCTTTTCCTGTTTTAAATTTTACAATGCTTGCTCAAAACATATTTAATTAATCGTTAATGTTTTCTACTTCTTTGATTAGCCTCATCCAGATTGTTGTCCAATATTGCTCGTTGAAAACCATCATCATTGCATCTGAAATATAAGAACCAATTTTATATTCAAGTTGTATCAAGATATATAATTTACTAAAGACACTGTTTTGTAGTCGAAATTAGTGGACCATTTCTAAAATCATAAGGGTCTAACTTCGATGGCCGATTCTCTTTATAGATTTTCTGTTTTGTTACTTGACTTGCCTAAATAAACAGTAGGCTGATTAATTTTGTTTGTTTTTTTTTTATTTTATTTTATATAATTACTTTATTTGTACAGGCTCAATCGAATAAACCTTACAGAGCCAAGTTATCCTTTCCGTTATACATTATTACTGTCTTATATTTAAGGTTAAAGGAACTGGACCGAGTACTCGCGGTTGTCTCGAGGTTAGTGGAGATTTACAATTTTTTGGATGGGAAAAGGCAAGAAGAAGGTTTGAAATGTGGTTTACGATACAACTATTTAATTAATTCTAAAGCATGAAATTATTTCTATTCATCTTGAAAACAAACATTGGAAAAAAAACCCACACGTACAAATTACAAACTAAGCCCAAGGTTAATCAAACTTACAATCTTAGGTTAATATCCTTAAAGTAAACATATATGAGTTTCATAAACTCCAGATCGCGTCTAGCCAAAATATCACGAACTGGAACATTAGGTTGTCTACCTCGAGCCCGAAGGGAATCACAAAAATGTGATCTGACTCCACGATACTCCGCACAAGACCAAAGGATGTGATCAGCGTCCTGGTAACCTTGTCCACATTCACAGAGATTGCTGTCTTCCAACCCCACACGGAACAAGTGAGCGTTCAGACAATAGTGATTGGACATGAGATGAGACATCACGCGTATGAAGTCCCAAACCAAGTCCAACCCTTTGAACCATGCAAACTTCGACACCTTAGGGATAATTGAATTTAGCCATCGTCCCAAGCTCCCTTCACTCCATTGATGTTGCCAGCTAACGAGTGACTGCTGACGATAAATAGAGAAAAATTCACTATAGGCGATTTGTCGATCATAAATGTCACCTTCCATAGCGCCCACCTTCGCAAGTGAATCCGCCTTCTCATTGCCCAAAATTGAGCAATGCAAAGGGACCCACGCGAAGGTGGTGATGAAAGAGTGCACGGATAAAGCACTAAGCAGCTCTCGTATTTTCAAGAGAAAATACGAGAAGTGCTTTACCGGCCTAATGAAACGTATAGCCTCGACAGAACTGAGACTATCCGTAAAAATAAAGTAGTGGTCTGCAAGAAGTGAAGCAATAGTTATCAAAGGGTAGTGAATTGCTGCCAGTTCAGCCACATACACAGAACAAGGAGCTTCAAGTTTTTGAGAGGCGCTATGAAATTCATTAAATACACCAAAACCAGCGGACTCCTCTATTAGAGATCCATCTGTGAATAACGTTCTTGCAGAATCAACATGGCCAAACTTTGCAGAGTATAATGACGGAGCAATCATAGGACGATGATGCTCTGGAATTCCGCGGATTTCCTGCGTCAAAGATAAATCAAAATTCACTGAATTGCCGAAATCGGAGAAGACTACAAAATTGGGAATATTTCTTGAAGGGCTGACATCCTGTGTTAAATATAGGTAGTACAAAGTCATAAAACATGTTTGAGGATTTAGCTCCAGAAGCTTCTCAAAGTTTTCGATCAGCAGTGGGTTCATTACTTCGCAACGGGGGAGGAGCCTGAGAGATAACTCTGACAAACGGACGGATAGTGGCCACATGACCGCCAGCATTTCAAGACTCATAGTATGAGTCGAGTGCATGCATCCTAACGCGATACGAAGAGAACGATACTGGATCCGTTCCAGCTTGATGATGTGCGTTTTAGCTGCCGACTGGAAACAAAAACTACCGTACTCTAAAACCGATAAAATCGTTGTCCGGTACAACGTCAGAAGATCTTGTGGATGGGCTCCCTACCACGTTCCGGCAATTGATCGAAGGAAATTGATCCTTAGTTGGCATTTTCGTCTAAGATACTCAATGTGGGATCTCCAGGTGCATTTGGAATCGAACCAGACCCCGAGATATTTGAAAGACATGGAATGAGTGATCGGTTTACCCAAAAGTTGAAGGTTCGGTTGTGCTGGGCTATGCTTCCTAGAAAAAACAACCAACTCAGTTTTCTCCGTGGAGAATTTGATACCTAGCTGAATAGCCCAAGTAGACAAATTGTCCAAGGTATCCTGTAAGGGTCCTTACAGGTCAACCTCTTTTGGCCCTGTGATAGACACTACGCCGTCATCTGCAAGTTGTCTCAACGTGCAATTGTCACTAAGACAATTGTCAATTTCTCTAACGTAGAAATTGTACAAAAGGGAGCTTAAACATGAGCCTTGCGGGAGACCCATGTAGCTAAATCGAAAAGCTGTAGAGTTTCCATGAGAAAAGCTCATATGTTTTTCTGACAGCAAATTGTACAAAAAATTATTCATTAATGGAGACAATCCACAAACGTGGAGTTTCTCTGAAAGAACTTCAACGGATACTGAATCAAAAGCCCCCTTGATATCCAAGAACACAGAAGCCATTTGCTCTTTCTTAGCAAAAGCCAACTGAATTTCCGAGGAAAGCAACGCGATACAGTCGTTCGTTCCCTTACCCCTACGGAAACCAAATTGAGTATCTGAAAGAAGGTGGTTCGTCTCAACCCATTTGTCGAGGCGAAAAAGGATCATTTTCTCCATCAATTTCCGAATGCAAGACAGCATCGCGATGGGCCAATACGCTTTTTAATGGCTATAACCCTCACTCGTCTCCAATCGTCGGGAACAATATTGAGCTCCAAGAACTGATTGTACAAGATCAACATGCGCCTCTTAGTGACGTCTGGGAGGTTTTCCAGTAAGTTGAACTTGATTCTATCAGATCCCGGGGCAGAATTGCCACACGAAAGGAGAGCGAGTGAAAGTTCGACCATTGAAAAAGACTGACTGATTTCGTCTACCGAATTCGCGCTTTCGCGAGGAATCAACTGCGACGGCACGGAATCCGGACACACTTTTCGCGCGAATTTAAGAATCCATCGATCCGAGTATTCCTCGCTTTCGTTGTTAGTAGACCGGTTACGCATTCTTCGCGCCGTACTCCAAAGCGTATTCATAGACGTTTCACGCGACAATCCATCTACAAACTGCCGCCAGTAACCCCGTTTTTTGGCCTTGATGAGGCTCTTGAGTTAGCGTTCAAGAGATGTGTATGCGTCGAAATGCTCGCGTGTTTCGCGTTTCCGAAAAAGTTTAAACGCGTCGGACTTTTTACGGTAAACCTCCGTGCATTGTTGATCCCACCAGAGCGATGGTGTTTTCTTACGAATTGACGATCGCAGCACCGGTCGTGTTTGAGCTTGAAGTGCGCTGTCGCTGATGAGATTAGAGAGGAAGTTATATTCCTCCAACGGCGGGAGCTCTTCCACTGACGATACTGTATCGCCTATCGCGGATTGGAACTTAGTCCAATCGATGTTACCGGTTAGATCATACGCGACGTTAACGGATTCTGACGAGTTGAACCCACTGGCAATCGAAATTTTGATCGGCAGATGATCACTACCGTGCGGATCCTGGATTACATGCCAAGTGCAATCCAACGATAGTGAATTGGAGCAAAAGGTGAGGTCTAATCTGCTACCATTCGAGGATGGACCAGCCAAACGTGTTACTTCTCCATTGTTAAGAATTGTCATGTTGAAGTTGTCACAGAGATCATAAATCAAAGTAGAACATAGTTGAAGATGCTAATTTCAAATAACAGACTGTAGTGGTAATTTTTATACGATAGATGGAGTAGATGAAAGCATAGAGTTGATAGTTCCGTTAGAGTACGGCAGTGTGAAGATTGCATATAGATATTAGAATAGCGAGCTAGGACAACTTTTAAGGAAGGTACAAATCGGTTTTTTCATCTCTCTTTACCAAACTCCCCCTTTGGAGAGGGATGGTGAGGGGTGTTCCCTCCCCGCCACCACTGGCAAAAAGAGATGAAAACCAACCCGCTCAAGTACCAACTGTGTGTTTGAAACAGTTCTACCGATTTTTTACCGCACTTCAGTTGTTATTTGAAGGAAGGCATCCAGTCGTACACAGAAAAACAAAACTACCCACCGCTTGGATTTTTTAAACTCAAATTTGAGTTATTTGACCTCTGCCCGTTTCATTTCCTCTCGCTATTGTTGTCAAAAATAGAACGAAAGGTTCGACTCAACCGTCTAGTTCCGTACGAGAAGCCAAAATTGAGTAATATGCGATATACCCAAATTTGAGTTAATTGAACTTAATTTTGGGTAGAAAAAATTGAAAATAACTTAGCGATGGGTAATTTTTTTTGCCGTGCTTAAATGCAAACTACTTTGAGCCGGTTTACCAAAATTTGGCTTATCGTACGGAACATGGGAGATGAGTGAAAAGAACTTAATTTTGGGTTGTTTTGAATTTCTGTGTAGGTTTGGAAATTGCAACTATTGTTTACCCCTACCACGATATGTGCTCCTGTCATCGTCGACTTGACGATCTCGAGGGGACACGGGTGGGGTAGGTGCTGCTACTGTACCTTTCGACCATTGACAGTAATTGATGGTATGCTCCCATCCAGAGTTATGTACTTTGACTATATGTTTTAGTATTACTTCTACGTGAAGTCAACGATTGACATAGTTTTTTTTTTTTTTTATAATTACTTTATTTGTACAGGCTCAATCGAATAAACTTTACAGAGCCGAGTTATCCTTTGCGTTATACATTATTACTGTCTTAAATTTAAAGTTAAAGGAACTGGACCGAGAACTCGCGGTTGTCTCGAGGTTAGTGGAGATTTACAATTTTTTGGATGGGAAAAGGGAAGAAGGAGGTTTGAAATGTGGTTTACGATACAACTATTTAATTAATCCTAAAGCATGAAATTATTTCTATTCATCTTGAAAACAAACATTGAAAAAAAAAACCCACACGTACAAAATACAAACTAAGCACAAGGTTAATCAAACTTACAATCTAAGGTTAATATCCTTAA